ATAGAGAAATGCGGTTGGCTATGTATTGGAAACACGTCACTTAAACTAAAACTAGCACTTAACAAAAACCCACTGCCCAGACTGACATCAGTAACTGACCTTGGGGTACATTACTCTGACAGTCTTAACTTCTCTGAACATATCTCAACTAAAGCATCTCAAATGCGGAGATTGCTTGGCTTCATCCTTCGTAATTTCTTTCAAAAGGAAACTAAAATCATCCTGCATAAAGCCTGCGTAAGACCCATCGTCGAATACTGCTCGTTCTTATTTTCCAACCTACGCCTATCTGATATACTTAAAGTGGAAGGAATAAAGCGAGACTTCACTCGCAAAATACTTAAGAATGACCAACTCACTGACTACAAATCCAGATGCCATATCTTAGGACTAGAACCCCTCTGGAAAAGAAGGCATATATCTAACTTAATTTCTTATTTCAATCTCCTTAAAAACCTTACTTATTCCACATGTAATATAGCTCTCTACCAAGACTCGCATGGATACAACCATCGAGACAAAGTATCCACTGTCAAAATTGAAAAACACAGATCAAAAACAAGTGTAAACTTCTTCCTTATCAAATACGCATTGATATGGGACAGTCTGCCTTCTGAAGTACGCATGGCAGACAAATTACATATGTTTGCAAGACTCATTGATCAAGCCCTCACCTGCATAGATCTGGTGCAAACGAACACATCCACGTTCCACACAGACATCATAGGCTCTCTACATATATAGACTGAATCGCATTATTTCCCTACCTTGTAGTTGTATTAGATACTTTCCCCTCACTAATTCTTTTTAATTGAAGTAGACAAGCAACTCACTGGATCTATCAATACTCGGTCGCTAAACGACGCTTATAAATACCCTAAAACGTCAGAAGAAACGCACAATCGGCTGCCTACTGCCAGTGGTCGTACAACCATAGAACCTGCCACCCATCAACCGGTTAGCATAGAACGAAACAACCTCAGCGCGAATTTAGTGTGAGTTACTTCTCGTCTATTTATCAGCTTTTTACTCATCTGTACACTATGTTGCCTTGCCATTGATATTATTTCACCACTCGTTATCTTGCCTTACCTGTAACTAATATAAATCTCCACTTTTCCGCCTACTATGGTAAACAAATATCCTACACTACACCCTTCCTAATGCCTATACTCCGATTTGTAACCTACACTTTACTATATAGTCAATAAAAACATTGCATCGAAGCCTTACCCACAGTCCGTAATTTGTAACTGTCTGATAATCTTGTAACATGGTACTTATAAAAATAGTGTTTTGCAACAGGAGTGTGAGGTATGATATGTATCCAAAAAATAAGCGTAAATGAGCCTAACATCACAAAAGGAGGGAGGGTGGAGTTACTGACCAGCAAGCACTGATGGTGAGGGCGATGATTTCAATCCACCCGTGTTTGTGGGGCAGAACATTTTGTTTGTATCAGGCTCTTTATGGATGAGAACAAGTTAATAGATCTGTGATATTGGGATTGTTCTCCTACACTCACCATTCAGATTCATGTTTCTAATTTTTGTGCTGGATCAACTATTCTACTAAGACAACCTTAAACATGCTAACTCGTACTTTTACATGAAAACTGTGTGGCAGGCATCGGATGATGAAAAAAACTGACTGTAAAGGATATGGTTGCTATTTTACTCAACACTCTACTCTCTATATGCACTCTCTGTTCTTCCGTATTCCAACCTTGACTTCCCTCCTTCATTGGAACCTACTCCACCTTGATAAATATCACAACCCATTATTCTTTATTACTGCCTTCTCTTCTCTGGAGCCCCTAATCGCAGTTCACTCTTGCAACATGAGCTAGTATCAATTTAATCTAATACCTTATCATACCTCCATCTGTTCCACTAATAAATGTTAAGCATTGGTTATCGTTCATATCCAAATGCCTTGCTGCTCCTCGGTTTCTCCTTTATTTTTTCTCTCCAGAATCTTGCTGTGAGGGTGAAGCTATGTAACTTCTGACATCTGGAACAAGCTGGACAAACGCGCTTTCACAAGGTCATAGTTCGAACCAGGCGCTCCACAAGCCTACTTTATAACAACCATAAACTTAAAAAACTGCATTACATAAATACTTAGCACGACCGAAACCCTAATACACTTTTTGTAGAGATTGGATCTGGTATGTAACGTGGACGCTATGCCCCTTTGGAAATATATTCTTATGAAAACACATTATATCTGAACGAATGAACTGCTATCAACTTTTATAGATTATAATTACTAAACAACCTTGCTTGAGATGCATACTGTGAACCAGTATATGTTGTAAATTGTAGATCATGCCTGTAAAAATGGCGTGTACCTGCCATTGCAGAAATATATTGTTATTATTAACATTTTTTTCCTTCTTTCCTTTCTCAAACATGGCAAATGTAATGCTAACATTACTGAAACTTGTGTGTTATTGCATTTTCGAAGAAACCCGAAATGGTTTCTTCACAGCACTTATGTACCCATAAGAGATTTGTAAATAATAATAATAATGTAACAAACTGTTATTTGATAATTAATTATTATTACCATTATTAAGCGTTTGCAGACAATATAAACTGTCACTTCAGGAAGGTCTGACTCGACTTTAAAGTTGGACAGATGACAGCGGATTTACCTCCAACTCTTCAAAGTGTAAAGTATTGAACCCGAGACATGTTGCAGACTACAGTTACAACTTAGGTAACTTCCTTTAGAGGTATCATAAGTTGGGGCAGATCTAGGAGTGTTGGTACTCCATGATCTGAAGCCTTTCTCAAACTGCGACAAAAATACCTTTCGAGCAAATATTGCACTGGTAACGTAGAAGTGCATTTTCGGCCAGTTCGATGGAAGGAATCTCACATAATCTTCGATAATCTTATTTGTAATCATTTAGAATACGAAAACATAGCATTTCCTCCCTCACTCCAAAAAAATAAGGACACTTTGGAGCGTATCCATCAGCGAGGCACGAAATCAGTTCGGGGACTCAAATTCAAATCTTATGAAGAGCGCCTTCAGTCACTTAGCATTTACCCGTTAGAGTATAGACCTCTTAGAGGTGACATTCTAATTATATGGCATTATAAACATTCCCGAGTGTCCCCTTAAACACCTGATTAGGCTTAGTTCCAACGCAAATCTTAAGGGTTATGCCCAGAAACTGGAGACCCAACACAGCAGAACAGACTGTAGACATACCTTCCACTCCTTAAGAGCAGTCAAATATTGGGATTCGCTGCCGACCGAGCTAGTCCAAGTGACTTTGCGGGAGTCATTTAAGAGGCAATCTGACCTATTCCTAAGGACTAAGGATAATATTTTGTTATGATTTACCAATTTCTTTTATTCCTCTATAATTTTTATTATACCTATGTTCCTGCCCTGATATATTGGTGATATACTGCTACTAGACACGGGAGCCCGTTAAGCGAAAGCTTCTTCTATTCCGTCCACAACCATTCGGGACTTTCTCAAAACTTTGCAATACAAACTCCAGATTACTTATCAAGAAAAAAACTTGAGTTATTTAAAAAGCATTTTTGGCTAGAAACAAGACCGAGCTTCTAGCTTACTATTTGTTTACCAATTTTCAAAGGAGGTCGACGCAGTGAACCTTCAAGCTACCGACCAGTGGCCCTTCTCTCCATACCTTCTAAAATTATGGAATCTATAATATACGACGGTATGCAAGAATACTTATCATCCTTGAAGTTATTTTTACCTCAAAAGCACGGTTTCAGAAAAGGTCATTCTTGTATGACCAACCTGCTGACTGCGGTGGATAGATGGACAACCATCCTTGATCGCAAGGGGAAGGTTGACGTCATTTGCCTGGATTTCTCAAAAGCTTTCGATAGGGTCAAACATGTATGTCTTATCAATAAGCTTTGAAGATCGGGTACCAAAACCCTCTTTGATTGACTGGCTCACTTCATATCTAGAAAACCGATACTTTAAGGTCAGGGTTAACTCACTCTCTCTCAAGCTATGGAATGTTCTAGTGGGGTCCCTCAGGGTTCAATACTAGGACCTCTTCTCTTCTTGATTTATATTAACGATCTCCCTCAACAAGTTTCATCTGACTTATTGGTTTTTGCTGATGATGTGAAACTTTGGATAGAGATACGTAACCATAAGGATATACTAGTACTTCAGGAGGATCTGACCCGACTTCAAAGTTGGGCAGACGACAACGGACTTACCTTCAACACGTCAAAGTGTATAGTTGTCAATATGAGAAATGTTACAAACTACAGTTACAAATTAGGAAACTCCTCTCTAGAAGTATCCAAAGTCGAAAAAGATTTAGGAGTGTAGATACTCTACGACTTGAAGTCTTACGCTGTGAAAAAACGACTTCCGAGCAAACCTTGCACTGGTAACATTGAAACGAATTTTTGGCCAGTTTGATGGTAGAACTTCCCACATAACCTTCAGTTTTATCCGTCCCCATTTAGTATAAGGTAACATAGAATTTCCTCCCTCCCTTCAAAAGGATAAGGACACCCTGGAACGTATCTAACGTCGAGCCAAGAAATCAGTTCGGGGACTCAAATTCAAACCTTATGAAGAGCGCCTCCAATCACTTAACCTTTACTCGTTAGAGTACAGGCGTCTTAGAGGTGACTTACAATATCCTTAACACTTCTGGTCTTCCCCTTAAATATCTTCTTAAGCTTAGTCACAACACTAACCTAAGTAGTAGCACCCAGAAACTGGAGACCCAACATAGCAGAACAGACTAGACAAAACTTCTACTCCTTAAGAGTTGTCAAATGTTGGAATTCCCTTCCGACTGAGCTAGTTCAAGCGACTTCCCAGGAGTCCTTTAGGAGAAAACTTGACTTATTCTCAAGGAATAAGGATAACAAATTGTTATGATTTGCCAAATTCTTTTTTTCCCTATTATCGTTAATATACTTAGGTTCTTGCCTTGAGGTATTGGTGATCCACTGCTACTAGGCAAGGCAACCCGTTAAGCGAAAGCTTCTTCTATGCCGTCCGCAACCATTTGAACCACTTGATTCTGGAATTATTTCAACCTTTAAAATTTCAATTTTGTACGTTTGTTCTACTAGTTTAGTCTAGTGTGGTGTTTTTGAAAATGGTTGAAATCACGCCCCTTGAGTCCAAAATAATTAGACAAGTTGAGGTAATTCAAATGAATCTCTTCTTCTTGAGTTACTTTAGTATTACTTTGGAGATGTAAATCTATCACGTGATAAGTTCATGAAGGAGGCTGTTAAAGAGAATGATGGATGTAAGATTTATTTTTGAGCAAAATCATAATTTCATGCTTCTAGGGATTCCTATGGAAACAATGATTAAATTTAACCGTCTTAAGTCTCTGTCAGAGGATATCGAATTCATAAAAAAGTCGGTATCCAAGTCACAATCCGGGTTGATTGAAGTAGGCGAAAAAGGTCTTCGAAGAAATCCTGAGATGAAAGTTCCTGAAACATTTGAAACAGCTCTTAACAGCTATAAAGAAAACGGTGTCTATGTTAAAGGCTTCTCTCCAGATGAAAAATTGGATGAAATCATTGAATGGCTCGAAAAACATGGTGGCAAAACCCTTGATGTGCATATGCGCAGATTTCCACGAGACAAAAAGTTTAGGGTATTCTCAATTTCTTTCTTAATATTCATGTTATAGGGAAGCATATTTGCTATTTTTGAGAAGAAAGAGGATTCTGAAAAGTTTCTAGCGTCGCAAGAGGCTGCTACTTTCAAAGAAAAAACTATGATCCGTTCAACCCAGTAAGTTCAAGTGGTTTTGAAATACGTGAAGTAGTTTGACTCGATTTCTTCTACAAAAATGACTGTCAACTATCAAGTATAGTAGGTTTCCTATAACTGCCTTTCAGATTCAATACGTAGTAGTTTTTGTAGCCATGCTGCACGGTTTAGCCATCTAAAGTTTAATCCATGTAGCATTATCTCGTTGGGCATTAATTACCGACCGATATCAAAGTAGCAAACATTTGATGACATAAAGAATGTAGTAAATAATAGTACCTTCTACACCTCTATTATGAATCATAACCATTTTTCTACTTATTCCCAATGTCTCCTGTTAACATTTTTAACCTAAAGGAAATTGTGCTGACTTAATTTCGATGTCCGTCTTCATCAAAAAACAGGTAATATGTTCTATTTAAGGTTGGGTCCCAGGTTTTTTCCATCCGAATTTCTATTAACAGATTGAAACTGAAACAACCGCCTTGGATTTGCACATCTCACTTCAATATATGTAATGAAATTTCTAGTGATCTCTTTCATACCCATCCCATAGGTTGAAATACCATAACACTGACTGTTCAAATGTCAATTTCCATAAAGACGTACTCAGCTGACTAAACCACTAAAGCTGTTTCCCACCTCAACTAAGGAGGCGAAAATGTATATTTAGTCTCATGAAAACATTGTACTATCACTTGTCATCACTACCCACCTGGCAAAAACAGGGGTTAATCACAATTGGTATGTTAACATCCAATAAAACAGTTGAAATTACAGTTAACTATCGAATAGTATAATAATAGGAACAAAGTAAGCAGACCCAAATAACTTGTAGTTTGGTCAGCAATCTGCATAATCCGGTTGAGACAACTGGATTGTATCGTTAGTTCTTACATTTAAAGAGTAGCTCAAAGCTTGATACATGAAGTTGTACTTATTACATTAGTTACATTATATAATAGCAATTGAAGCTGCGTAGAAAACTCGTTTTTCATATGAGGAAAAGACTAATGGTATCCAGGCAATGTTCAGAATCCATCATAGACTCCAAAAGTATTTCGTACAAACTTCAGTATGAGTGCAAATTTTGGATGATTGTAATGTTTTATCTTACTTTGTAGTAGCTCGATGCATTCAGTTTATTTAGTTCGTATAGTTAAAATAAGTTCGCTTGCCGATCAATGTCCAATCTCCAAACGTCAAGTTGCACAGTATTTTGTGAAAGTAAATACGGTCAAACTTCTGGCAGTATGTTAATACTTAAAATTCAATTTTAGAATCGATTATTGGAAACGCAAAGAAGAAGAAAACAAGGCTAAAGTTGCTTCACAAGCCAAAAAGCAAGCTGCACTTGAAGCTAACCAGGAGGCTCAACTTAATTCTCGAATGATTCGTGGAGCATTACTTGAAATTGTTGGTCTTCCAGAAGCCACAAAAAGTAAATATCTGTTTGTCCAACTTTACCATAATAATGTAACTCATCAGCAAACGCTCCTTATTTTTATAGCCGATTGTATCTTGAATGTTTATGAAAACCAAAAAAGTTGAGTGTCAGACCAGATTTTGAAATTTTAAGTTCTTGTAGAGATAAAAAAGCAAAATATTTTCGCCACTTCAGAATTTTTTCTGAATTTATTATTATATGGTTGTTCAATCCAAAGCTAATGACCCATCTCGGAGGATTCGTTGTGCCGGGATACGAATCTAGTCAGGATTAGTAGCAAAAAATATCAGAATCCAGGTATCGTTGTTGCTAGTCAAAATCAATATACTTGGTAAACAAAAATAAGTAACTATTTCGGAAGTTTGGAGACTATCTCCAAGATTATGACTGGTGTGCAAAAATTATATGTAAGGGCGATTGAGCTTGCATAGTGTGCACACAAACGGCCTTTTGACGAAATAAGTTGAGTACAACTTAAATCATCACTGGAGTTCTCAGGAAATACTTAGCTGTTATATAGTGTACACAGTACGTAATGTGTCAGTTGTGTGTTGGTTGTTTGAATCTTCCCACTGATGTTTAGGACTGATTGATCAGTCTCTTTTGCATATGTGTATCCTGTTCCGATCGCCTCAATATTTCCACTAATTTACAATCATTTTTAAGCAAAGGTGTACGGTGGCTAGTATTGGAATCCGGAATGTTCGTTTAGTCCTATTTGTGACTCGTCTGTATGTACCTACAAGTTGACGAGTCCCAAATTAGGAGAAATGCATATCCTGGATTTCACTACTAGCCACTATCTATCTCTACTCTAATGTTTGATAAATATAGAGTAATGACTACAAATGTTAGCCATCTATCTCAGTGAACAGTTTTATTTAATTCGCTGAACTTAATAACTACTATCCTTTTGGTTGTTTACGAACTTTGTTCAGTAAACTTTGTTTCAGTAACTGAAATATAAATATTATTAGTGATTATTATTTGGGAGATTTGTCATAAACTGTTCAGATGCTTGACATGTACTTCTTACTATCGAGTTACAGTATTTTTCCAAAACTCATAAAAATGTAGCTTCAGCACTAATTGGCACACGGTTTAGAAAACTGACCCCTTTGATTTAACTGTTTTTGGAGACAGTTGAGTTATCGTTATCTGCGGAAAATTATATACATCAGGCTGTTACTCCGTGTGAATAGTACCAACCGTTCCCATATTGACTGAAACATAGCTTTTCATCATTAGGTTATGAGTTCGAACCTTTTTGTCTGCTTTGTTTTGAGGAGTTGGTTATCACTAACTAACACTGGAGATTTCGCCATGCTGAATCCATAAACCCGTATATGATATATGGGCTACATGTTAGTACAGAGGTCTTGAAAGCTATGCGGCTTGAGCGTTGATTTAATTAGTGCCACGAAATACAGGCTTCAGTGATTTGCATATATGTTACAGATATAGTCCAAGTATCATCCACATCGCGTATTATTTGACTCGGTAGAACAGCTAGATAGTTGTCAGTATATGACAGTGTCATGGTATAAAAGAAATCTACATAAGACTGGTATCTTTTCCATCACAACTCCGTTGTTTGGGATCTTAGTAGTCTTGCAGATTTTGTGCTTACGAAGTTGGCAGATTTACTTTAGGATTAAAAAGTGATGATTCGACTGTAATGGATTGGAACTTTTTAACAGGATAAAATCCATCTTGGTTGTATTTCTTTAATTAATCCATGCCTTGGTAATTATTCTTGCTTATTTGTCTATTAATTATATGACTGTCCCACTTTTTATCTCTTCATAATGTTGTGACTCTACTTTTACAATGGATTTTCGGTGCCCTATCATACAAAGTTGTTTTTTTTATAGAGTTATACTCCTAGGCACAAAAATCAAGTATAAATATAGGTGCTCAGCTTGGTTAGTCACTGATATCACTTCTGTGGTAGAAAAAAAGAAGTCATTAGTTGTTAGTTTTTTTGTAGTGTTTTAGTGGAACTAATTATCATTCTGAATAGAATATTCATATTTGCTATTTTCTGTTTTCCTATAATCACACAACTCTTCACTTTCTAGAAAATGATGTAGTTGAAGGAGAAGACGCTACAACAGAAGAATCAAAAGAGTCGTCAGTGAATGGCGGTAAAGACTCAGAAGTACCAACAGTTATGAACTTGAAACAGTGGTTAAACGAGAAGGTAAGGTAATATGGCAAACAATTTGTTAAGTAGTGAAAATTCGTTACTTTGATTGCTTAAGACTGCTGTTACGAAATTAAGTCAAGTTTCCTGACCGTTTTTTCGAAGGGAACTTAGGATACACAAATGATATTGTTTATCATACTTTGTTTGATTCACATTTATTTATTTTTCTGAATCTTTTCACAGCTTGACTCAAGTACTCCTGTGGGATGGATTGATGTCGAACCATCTGAGGGGAAAGCTATAATACGTTTCAAACAACCTGATACAGCAGAAAAAGCATGGGCTAAATTAAAAGAAGCATTTGGCGATAGTCCTGTTACTTATTTAAACAGTGAACTATCAGGTCGCGTAATGACTGGTAATTATTGTCCATAAAATTAGTACCTTTATCCATTCTATGAACTGCATATTTTGCTCATATGAAATTGACTAATGAAATGAAGTGAATTTGTCTTGCCACTAATGGGTCCCCAAATTTTGCTAGATATTGCTTCAAATAAAATCATATTTTATATACATTTTCCACGTCATTTGATTTGTTTCATTAACCTACTGGATCACATAACTAACTTTTGTGACTACATGATCTGAACTGATGTTCGTCAAACTAACAAAATTAGAAGCAGTTTATGCGGATTTAAATAACTACCATATTACGTAGATGATCTTTTGCGAGAAATTGTGTAAATACTCATAAACTCATACTAACGACTACATTAAAGATGTGATCATCTCAAAAAGAGCACTTTAAAATTTCATACAGCTATTGTTTGCCAACTAAGAAAGATAAGTTATAGTACAGTATGTCCAAATAGACTGCCAAATATAATTTTGTGACACAGCAGATTAGTTTTGTAAGCTAGCTAGTTTACATCATTATGCTGAAAATTTTTTAATAGACTGTTGTTGTTTTGAAAGGTGACGAAGAAAAGAACCAGTGGAAAGTGATCCTGGCAGCTCAGCAACAGAAGGCTCAGAAACGACGTGGAGGACGTAGTGTAAGCTAAATTCATTCGCTCTTATTATTTGTTATTTAAACACACTATTGAATTTGTGTAGGCTGAGATATAGCCCGTGTGCCCAAGCTGAAGCTGGTGGTTTTCTTTGTAGACCACTCCCCAAACTTTTGATCCAAAGGTGTAACTTACAAAGCAGTGGAGCAACATCAGGAGATGCGACCCTATGATAGCTAGTGACCAACAGTAGGTTCATACGCCATTTGTTCCCTCAAGATCCTTGAACTTACTTATGCCATTGGTTTGGAATCAAGGTTTGTCGACTCCCCTAGGTAGATACTCTGTACCCACCAACCCGGTTCAAACCCCAGGAATTCACTTTCCGTCCTCTTCATCTCGTAATGAACACCCGCCACGAGAAAGCAGTTAGTAAAATCACCTTACTAGTGACTATATACGTGTGACCACAAGAGAGAGAGGGAGAACAAACTCTCCCCACTCTTGGCCGTACCAGGGCATTTGGGGACATTTATCTACGTGTAACTGTCATTGACTTCTTTTTTTGTAACTGAAATTTACTAATCTTATCGTATTATTATTATAACCATTATTTAAACACAAATATTGGTACAAACGGGTACCAGATACATATGCACCCCACAAATCAAATGTGATTTGTGTGAGGGCTGTGATACTGCTCAGGTGCCCAAACTGAAGCAGGTGGTTTTCTTAGGGGATCACACCCGGAGCCTTCGACCTAAAGGTCTGATCCACAAGGCAGTGGAGCATCGTGAGGAGATGCATTCCCATGGTAGTCGGTGACCAACGATTTATTCATACACTATTTGTTCCTTCAGGATACTGGAGGCTATGTGCACCATTGGTTTGGAATCAGGTTTTTTCAACTCCCCTAGGTGAACTTTCCGTGTCCACCAATGCTGTTAAAGCGCCGGACATTCGCTTTTCGTCCTCTCAATTTTGTAAACAACACCCCTGCCACGAGAAGTCAGTGAGTAGGACTTCCCTGGCAGTCTTATTGTAAGAAGTCTCTTGTTTCCTTTAACATAAAATCTTATTCATATAGTTTTGACAAAGTGTAAATAGATTTTACCAATGATAACTACTAAACCTCATAATAGAAAAAAGTCAACTTAATAATTAGTTTCGTTATCAATATTAGTTGAAATATTTGATCATTTTTGTTTGCTAAATCTTATAATAAATGTTCGAGAAAATGATGCTTTCTATAAAACCTTTAAAGATCAATCACCTTGTTTATCATTATGGGAATAGTCTTCAGAGTATCCATCAGGTATAAGCTATTCACTTCTTGTCATAGGAAGCGGTGGCTTAACAGTCAAAGAACAACTTTTAGCCAGTAGGTCACAGGTTTGAATCCCATCTCATCTACTTTGAATATTTTGTAACTTAACAGGTATTGATTTACGTATTGGGCTTTGAATTACACTTTGAGGGCTAGTAATACTACGTGTATACTTAGACCAAAGAAGCTAAAACGGTTTTTTAACCTGCGATTTACTGTATGAAAGTTAAACACCTTAGCCACTCGGCCACCGCCCCCACCTTTGGTTTAGGCAGCCATCCTTGCGAAATATTATCTGGAAATTCGATAGACAAGTCAATGGGTAGTTAAATACTAAGCAGTTTTATGTAATTCTTGCCGCGTTAAAAGTAAGCATTTTATTTCTAAACCGATTTTAAAAATTTATAGTAATCTGATAATATTATCTTAATTAAAAGAGCCAGGCTGTTATCGTCAACTCATTACTGGCTTATAAAGATAATTACCTTAAATATAATGACAATCACCCTTTTTTTTCTGTCTGTGCTATCCATCTACAATTCCAAGTAACATCGATCATGAGTGTTCATCCAAGAAATAGTCATAAGCTACACGTTTGAATTCCTAATATTAACTTTAGTGTGAACAATACAAAGGAGGCTGGAAAAAAGTTTAGATGTAAACAATATGTAAATTGTTTTAGTCAGAATTTTGATTGGGATCATAAATGAATCAATATTAGACCACTATTGAAAACCTGGAGGCACTGGACGGGCGTTTTGTCATGGTATGGGTCTTCTCAGAACTGCTCATCCACGGTCCCCGCATGCGGGATACAAACCCAGAACCTTTGTTCTCACACAAAAACACTTAATCTCTGGACCACTGAGCCGGCATCCAACGGTGTTAATGTCTAACTTCCGTTGATCCATGAATGGCCATGCAACCATTCATTCATTGTCTGAGGTAGATATCTGTCTCTAGCCGACATGAATTGCACTCCACTGGTCACAGCTTCTAACTCGAATTCCAGGAAACCTATCTTGGATCCATTCAGTAGTGAGCACATTATGATTGTCATCAGAATGGGAGTCTTTGGAGATTTTAGTGATTTTAGTCAGAATTACCTAAAATAATAAGTATGTATAAATGGATACATTAACTATCGTAGTTGAAATTCATTCAGGATGGTGTGGTTAACATACATTCATAATAACCACTGTTTTACTTACATGTTAGTAATTCATGAAGACAGTAATACTTTTGCATTTTGATCACTAATGTGGTGATTGGAGACAATAACTTATGTGTGAAGAGAAATTTATAAATACTGAGATGTTTATTTAATTTCTTAATTCGACTTTAATGTAAACCTTGTGATAGGAATAAATACCTAGTTATTTTTACTGGAAGTATAGTAGTTCGATATCTTCACTCATGATTACCATTTATTGCCTGAGCGCTGTGTTATTTCCCAGACATTTTAGGCGCCTTCATAATTCTTAACGTAATCATTTAATTCTCAGAGTTGTAAAGCATCATCAGTGTATGCTATCCCGTAGCAACTGATGACCAATGATTTCCTTGAGATATTACGATCCATGTATACTATTGGGTTGGGGCCAGGGTTGCCAGATTGTATATATTCACCAACCCGGTTTTAAAGTCAAAATTCCCCCCCCTTTGCCCCCATTTTTGTTAACTCTTCACCTGAAAGCAGTAAGATCTCTCTGAAACTGGTTATGTGTTTGTCTACATGAAAACATTTCTGTAGGAGGGATCAGATTCTATACTCTCTCGGCAGTACCAAATCATTTGGAGGCCTTTTCTTGCCATATATCTATTATGATTTATTGCTAATTCCATTTATGTTAATCCTTTTTAGGATGGAAGACAAATTCGTAACAAGCGACGTCGTACGAACTAAGTAAAATGGAAAAGATTGAATTCCATTTACTACTTATAACTTTATTACTGTATATTCATCAAAACTAAACTTTCCTTTGAAATATTTTATTTCATACAAAATAAGAGAAGCTATGTAAAAAAGCAATCATTTGTCATGGAAAATATATGTATTTGGTTTGAGAAAGTGTTTGTTTTCTTTTTTCATGTTTAAACCCTGAATTTACATTTTTACTGTTACCATCTATTGGAATGCGCTCATATTTTATCATTGTTAAGAGAATCTTCATGATGATAGTTTGTCATACCTCAGGAACCTTTTTGTTTTCTAATGTAATTCGAAAGTAGCATTAAATCATACAGCTGATTGATACAAGAGGCTAGTGATACTACTACTACCACTACTGTATGCCCAGTGTTAATTAGATGCGGATCAACTTAAACATAAGACCTAATAGTTTGAGTTCGAGTACTATAAGTTGGTCTTCCTGTTTGCATTTAGATTCAATGAAAGTTACATTTACAACTTGCAGTTATAAGTATTACAACATTGGTATTTGGAATATGATCGATCCCTGGCCATGATCGATATTAATAGTCAGTTATGCTTACGAGATTTAGACGATTTTAGTCATGGATCTCAACCCGTTTTTTATAGCCGTTGCAGTTTGGGTATCTCATATGTGTGTTACTAAATTGTATTGGTTGAACTTTAAGGATGTGAGTAAATGTTGAGTTGTATTTCTAAAGATAAACTGTAGTGTTTTCACTTCGAAACTAGTTTTCATTGTTGATCAAAGTTCATCAACTATTAAAATGTGGATTCCGATGATCAGAAAACGTTAAATATAGGAAGTGAAGAAACCTATCATTATGTTCTCTCTTCAGTTAGTCGTCCATCGTCTTTTTTGCCAGAGTGTAGATGTTTAGATTTATGTACGTTAAGTCATTCGTATAATTGTATGTACAGCAGTCTATAAACTTGTTTTTTTACAGATGGTTCGTCGATCTTCATATGTAAATCGTGATTGTAAAAATAATAAATCCAGCCCAAATGAAATAGTTCCTGTATGCGAGTCTCGAAGAACCCGTGTGAAATCACTGAGACGAAAACCAACTAGTTCAAATAGATCGCACTACAATCCATGTGAACGTCGTCGTCGTTTACAAACTATGATCCGTGAGGTCTACAATCGTATTCGGTGTGCTAATTTAACATCCAAGTGGAATCATGTATTTGAATTGATGTCGAAGAATCGACGTCTGTTAAGCGAACAACTGAATTCTGCTTACACTGCTAATCTTTCAGCTCGATCTATCACCTGTGATGAAATGTGGCCTAATTCCAGTTCTACCGATCCACCTTTATTAGCTGAACCGGTAGAAATTCCTAATGTTTATAGTCAATTTGGCAAATTTGAGGCTAGAATCGGTGGTGTATCCTATCGTGTTGCTATTACAATGATGCCCCAAGTGAGTAAATTTAATGAGATCAGTATGTGTCATATTCTTAGTTTTTCACCTCTACTTAAAAATGTCCAGAATTAATTGTTGTATTTGCTGTCATTCTCTTTCCACTCTTTCACTTTGATAGGTTGATCCTGTGCCTTCTGTTTGTATGTGGGCTCCTGTTCAACATAATTTCTCTGTTGAAGATGAGACAGAATTAGCTAATTTACCATATATGGGTGATGATCAAGCTCAAGAAGATGTGAATTTTTTAGAAGAACTTTTAAACAATTATGATGGTCATTTACATGGTAATTTTCCATTTGAATTTGAAGAATCACTTCTGGTACAATTGGTTAATGCAGTTACTAAAGCATGGCCAGATATTACCACAAAATGTGGATTAATACCACTTACAAATCAAAAAGATGAACATCCACCCATAGATTTACCACAAAATCCAATTGCAATTGATAATTCGCCACCAAAAGAAATTGATTCATCATCAATGATTGGTATTGTTGATGAAACTGATCTAGTTCATTCTAATTGTAAATCAAATGAACGTACCTTGAAAAGATCAAAACCAGATGAAGAAGATAGTGATGAAGTTTTAACTATAAAAAAAGGTCGTTTCACCCGTCGTTCAGGATTTATCGAAATTAAAGATGTCGAAGTAAGTTCAATTGTTTACTTTCACTTGTATGAAACGATCAATAGATCCCGTAAATTTTGTGGAAGACGAACTGATCTTTATGTACAACGGCAGCTTAATCATCAAATACAGTTGACCTTATAGTCAAATATTTCTTCAGTTATTTTGATCTTGGTAATTCGTTATTATTGCTAGCTCCGTATACATAAGCAATGTGATTCAAAGCTGAATACGTAAATTTTTACTTCGGATATGAGTTACACAGAAGAGTGCGAATTTTCAATGCCTTTGTCACACATGTTAGTGTTTTTCTTATACATGCACTGAACGGTTGGTATTAAAATTCCTGTATATTTTTCTTGTGTTAAATGAATCTTACCTTACTTTGTCACTGAAAATAAATTCATAAGTAGTCACTTTAAAACAACAGTTGGTTCACAGCTACAGTCTTTAAAATTCAATTATGGATAAACTATTGTTGCAAACCAACAAGTGGCATGAGTCCTTAAAGTCACTAAGTTCTGAGCCATGTTGGTAGATGCAGACTACTTGGTTGGGGGTCTTCGCGACTATTGTAACCAATGGTTGAAGACTCCGGGTGACATGGCTCAGAATCGATCACAATGCTGTAGGTGTATACACTCATTGTCTTCCCTTAAAACGTGAGATTAAAATTACTTTATACCTTTCTTCCTACGAACTAATTCTTTCTCCTTGTATTATACGCTAATATGCAATTTTCTATATTACTACTATTGAAGTAACTACTTCTATGAGTTTGGTGTTGATGTTGTTGTGCTAATGAGGTATGGCAACTTAGACTGATGCATATATGTACCTGATCTTACGTTGTAGCTGACTGACTAATGATGAATATTTATATGGTCACTAATCAGTTTCACTACATTTACAAGATCTTATTTTTCTTCATTTTGATCACTGTTGACTGTCACACTAACCCTCTTGTTATAACTTATGGCCGAGTGGATGCCCATTTAATGTATAACGTGATAAGACCGTGAGATTAAAATCACTTGATACATTTCTTCTTAGGAACTAATTCTCTCACCCTGTATTATATGCTAATATACAACTTTATATATTACTACCACTGAAGTGACTACTATGAATTTGTTGTTCATCTTGTGCTAATGAGGTATGTCAGCTTGGACCGATGCATATATGTGCCTTGTCCTACGTTGTAGCTGACTCACTGATTTCCTCAATAAAATAGTTGTTGTACGGCTAACTCTTCATTTCTATATTGAATAGATATTGACCCTGCTGATAATCTGATCTATGTCAGTATGCTCACATAATTGCTGATCATTGTACACTTGCTAGTCGTAATCTTCAATTGCAGATGTTATGGATCATATAGTCTGAAATCGGTCTCAGTGACTCGTGTTTATGTTAATTGTCTATTCTTCCGGAAATCCCAAATCAAGTATTATTATCAACTTTTCGTTCTTTGATCTTATTTCAGTCTTTTGTAAAGCGGTTTGTTCGCGTTTAGATTTCGTTCCAGTTATATTTGTATCTGGCTGCTAATACCTTTATTTTTTTCAGAAGGGTTTTTTTTCATGGAGATTTTAGTAATTTTATGGCTGAAATCATGTGTCAATTGAAGCTAGACCACCATGGAAAACCTGAAAGCACTATACAGCCGTTTCATCCTATTGTAGGACTCTTCAGCAATGTGTATCGATGATCCCGCATCCTGAAATTTGAACCCAAGACCTGTCAGTTAGATATTAACACCGTTGGGTTCCGGCTCAGTGGTCTAGAGGTTAAGCGATCGCGCATGAGACTGTCCTGGGTTCGAATCTCACGTGATGGGATCGTGGATGCGCGCTGCTGAGGAGGCTCACAATATTACGAAACGACCGTCTAGTGCTTACAGGTTTTTCAAGGTGGTCTAGCTTCAAATGACTCATGATATCAACTATAAAATTATCTTTATTTTTGTTTTTTTAGGTTACTAATATTAGTGTTGGTACACTGTTTGCCGTGTTTGTGTTCTTATTTGATTATATCACATGCTTGAATTGTAGTAGATTTCTCAGTATCAAAAGCTAACTGAGTCTGAAAAATTTGATTTATAGACGGAATAATGAAATGACAATTTTTTTGCTTTTTTCAGGTAACAATAAGCAGTGATATAATACCGCCTAATACCAGCATTAATCTCCCGGAATTCAATGATAAAGCATTGGTTAATCTCCATAAAAATCTGAAAATTGAAGACGATGATGAGGAAGTCAAGTGTGAGCAGATCGCTAGCACACAACAATCTCCGAAGATAAGAAATTCCGTTGATTCACATCATAGCGATCGTGATTCAAATTCTCCAGACCCTAAGCGTCTCAGTAGCACTGGGATTCCGGAAGGAGTATTCTCTGTGAGTTAAGCTTTTAAAAAAATTTGATTCCAAACAGTTTGTTTCCTATATCGTTTCCTTCGTTTTAGGATGAAAGACGTAAATAGTGACTAAAGTTAACCGCAACGTTTTTATTATTCACTAAGTGTATTATACTCACATCATCGATCATTTCTCCGTTCATTTAGTGAATGAGTTCCGCCTATAAGTGTGTAGATTTCATCACATATTCCTCTCAAAGTCCAAACTTTTACAATATTTGTGTTTTTCAACTGTCAAGTGGAGCTGAAATATACTGGATATGCCCATAGCTGATTTCTAAGGATTACTGTAGTCTAAATATCAGCAGTTCTATTTCGGATCCGTGGTTAAAATTCTTCATTATGAGTTCCTTTTAGCCACTGTTCATTGTAATAGAGTTGCTCTTTACATTATTTTAAGTTAGCTTATTTTCTGCAACAATATAAATAGTCTGTTAGAAGTAACTGTGATGTAAACCATGGTAATTCATGTAAGCTGAAGATAAATAAGTATTTTCTTACTAGTTTTCAGTATTGTTTTTCTGTACCAGTCAGTCAGTCACAACGTAGAACTTCGTACGTACGTACATCAGTTCGAGTTGCCATACCACATTAACACAGATGCATTTGTCGATTTAAATCCCATAGTGGTAGAAGTAGTAAGAGTATAAGCATTATGTGAA